AGCTGGAAATGCAATTCTTTATTTTATCTTTCTTTTGCTTGGCCAAATTTTTAAATTTTGCGCCATATATAATCTTCTTTTTTGTTTTGCAACATCCAATATAGTTGAAAAATAATAATTTATAACAATAATAATTTATTAGAACTCATTAGTAATAGTAATAATAATAATAATAATAATAATTTTTATCTCTATGAACGTTTATCTTGAACAACAAAAGCAAAGAATGAGAATTCAAAACGCAATATATTATATTAATATGTTAATATTGCTACTATAACCTGGTAATTTAACATATAGATAGGTATAGGTAATACATTTACATGGCATCAAAATGTTTTTATTAGGTTATGAGCATATAGTATTAAATTATTCAAAAAACTTTTTTATCCATTTTAAATTTCTTATTCCAAAGTAAAGTATTGTTTAAAATGCATTATTCTTTTTATTCATAAATATATATAATTAAATAAGCATGATAAGTAAGTATATTCGTGAGGTCAGGAGAAAAAATATTATTAGAGTTGAATGAATTAAGGAGCCTCTCATAACTCTTAAGTAACACTTAGCTTGGGAAATATTAAAAATAAAAATAAAATTTTTAATGAATAAATGATGAGTTTTAAGTATATAAGGAATAAACGAAAGAAGTGAAATGGTGGCACAAGGATATTACTTAAGTTATTGGTATACTAATTCACTTAGACTTTAAATACTTATAAAATACTACTTTAAAACTGTTGAAATACCATTTACAGATTTGACTTAAGTACTTCAATCGTTATTGATATCCCAGCATTAGTAACTAATACAAAACATTAGCAACAATTTTAGAGACCAAGAGTAGCATTGAGATTTTAAGCTAAACGTATACAAATCTGCCAAAAAAAAACATTTTCACCAACTTACTAAGAGTCAGATCCTTGCAAATTTCTGTGACTCGAGTCTTGTATTATAAAATAGATCTTAAGAAATTTTGGAAATTTAGGGGACAGTTTTCAGATGTAAAATAAATATAATTTTAACTTTAATATAAATAAATAAAAAATGCAGAATCTTATGAATATATTATCTATAATGAAAGTGTTCTATGCTGTCTAAAAGGTCTGACACATAATTTCTAATACATAAATGTTTTGATTTTTTTTTTTAATACTTAAATATAATATAATCTAAAATTATAATAGTTTGTCACTAGGGGATTTTATCAAAAATTGAAAAAAAAATAAAATATAATTATCATCTTAGTAAAATTCTATTGTTCATAATAATCATAATAACTAATAATTCAATACACATTTTTATTCTGGAAATTTTAATTAGATTTTTATTTTAGTTGTATTTAACAAAGATAAAATATTAATACACCTATAATTAACTGTTCAATATATAGTTTATAGAAAATTTGTATACACAATAACATAATTCTACATGCACAAAAATGTTCAATAGAATTTCATTACTGTACATCAGACAATGGATGTAAGTATAGACCTTATATGGTATGAGGTAAGTAATAAGTCACAGTTTTCACAAAAATTCACTTTCTTAAAATTGAGTCATTTTTAGTTATATAATATATATAAATTTTTTTTTAAATATTAGTACCCATCTTATATTTTTATCCGAGTTTGCCTAAATTTAAATTATTTGTAGTTGTATCGTTGTATGTTAGTACAAATAACGAATTAGTGATTAGCAGGCTTAAACTGAGTTAAACATGTATTTACAAAACTAAACAAATTATTTAGAATACTTTTCACAGCTATTACAACACTTATAATAATCTGAATACTTGTTCATTTCTTATAAAAAAATTCCACTTTATTCTATTTTTTAATATATTTTTATTTTTATTATAATGTAGTCTTTAATCTAACGGTAAGATAAAATAATTTAGTGACTTCTACATTAATTTTTATTTTTCCTTCAATTAAAGAAGATGTATACTTTCAAAATTGTTGTCTATTACACTTATTTTATAAATACTTAGATATGTATATTACATTATTACCTATATAATATTTAAGTATTTGTATATGGAGCTTTTTTCAGTTGTACAAAATTACTTTAACTTGAATATTTTTAATATCGTTCCTATTTCTAGGATTCAAAAAGCTAAATTATTTTAACTTTTAAATTACAATATTTTTTTATAGTATAGTCTAAATTGTCTACAGTCTTGGTAATTAATTTAAGGCCCTTGATTTTATCTTGCATATCTGCTGGTATTCAAAAAGTTCAAAAACTCTTAATTACTTTATTTTATATTTTAATATCACTATGGAGCAATAACAAATAACACTGCTTTACATTTATTACATAAAATATTCAATAATTACATTCATTATATCATATTATTGTTTATCAGTGTAATTACTAATTAGGCTAATGATTGTTTTCAACCTTATTGAACACTGTACATTTTGCCTTTATTTATATAACATGAACTAATAATATTCGTTTTTTGTATTAGCTGTACATCTTGTGAGTAATTTAATTTTGAGACTGTAAATCATTTAATAATATGAACATGTTTGATTTAAAAAATATTTTGTTGTACCAATTTATGTTTTCTTGTTTTACTAGTCAAGTTATTACATTTTTTATTGATTTGGAAATTATACATATTTTTGAGAAAAACCAATTAAAATGTCTCAACATATTAATGGTACATTATCATAATTTCAAATAAAAACAATTTATTAAATGCAATACATTTATAGATCATATTTTATCATTAATTATATAAAAAAAAAGTTAATTTTCCAAAGAATTTAATTAAAAGTATGTTTATTTATTATAAAGATAATATTAATACCACATAATAAATTGATAAATTATTTAATTTTGAAATAGAATATAAAATATTCTTATTCATTTTTACTGTTTGGTTGTAAATCTTAGATAAAAGATTGTGTACTCGTATTCTATATAAAGATCAATCTTGGTTTTAAATTAAAAATTAACTAATTTATTGATTTTACTCAAAGCATTTTAACAAAGACCATATGGTTTTATCTAACATTTCATCAAAAGATAATTTACAAACTCAAATGGTTATTTCAATTGTAACGCATAGAAAGTATTAAATGTGGCTAACCTTTTTCAGATTACATACCAAAATTTTGATATCAGTCTTAAAAAATTAACGTGCCACTGTGCCAGTTATACATGTTCATAAGTAAATAAAAACAATTTTTTCCCCAGGATGGGGAGGGACTCTTAAAAATATTCAACAGACTAATTTTAAAATCAGTTGTATAAGTTATTAGTCTAAGATATATAAATTAAAATTACAGAGACTGATCCAAGGTGTGATCTACCGATAAACTACTATCTACGATAAAGCGTTTTAGGTAGAACATGACGTGACCTACTGAAAACATATTGATATTTTACACTAAAGTGCTATACCTATATAATTATCAATATTATATGGATTATTCGACTGTATTGTACTTTTAAAATATATCATTTAAACATTCAGTTACCATTTAGCGTTCATTCGTGTCATTTCGTTTGTTCCTTAATTTTTTCAATTTTTTTTTTATAACTAGTTTTGTAACGATTTAAATTTTAAAATGAATTCTACTACAACAATGGGACATTTATATAGAAATATAATTATTGGTAAATTGAAATACTAGAGCTCATACTCAAACAATAGAGTCGTTATGGAAGTTAGTCAAGTCTAAGTATAATATTAAAATTAATGGTGTATCTCCACTATTAGACCACCAACTTAAAGAAGAATGATGGCGGTCATGCCACCCGATACAAACTCAAATATTTGATGATTTTTTATCAGATTTAAAAAATACTTTTTCAGTATGAATGTAATATATAGATAATAGTTAATCACACATTGGACCAGCCATTTATTGGTAGATCACACAATGGACCAGCCGTTTATCGGTAGATCACACATTGGACCAGTCCCAAATTACATTAATTTCATTCAGTAATTGTATTACTCTTTTTGATTTAAAATAGTTTACATACTAAATGTATAGGTGTAAAAAATTAGCTCATTTAGAATGAGTAAATTTTTTTAAAAAGTAAAAAATATTAAGTCTGAAAGCAGTGAATATCAACATTTTATAATTGATTATATTTATTGGAAATAATGTATAATTTTATTCATTATTTTTTTTTCACTTAATGATAAACAAAGAAAAATATATTAATTCTACAAAAACAAAATACTATCTATTGTCTTAAAATAATAATAATATAATTGTACGCTAAATTCTTATGAAATTATATATATTTTAATACTACTTCGTAAATTAATTTACTACACATTGCGTGGGTAAGAAATAAAAAATTACAATTAGATTTACTTAATGCAAATACATCTTAATTATAAATTTAAAAAATATAAATATTTTTAATTCTTAAAATTTAAAAAGTGTTTATTTCTAAAAAATTATTTCCAATACTCAAAAAAATTTCTTAAACTATTTTTGAAACTTAATAAAATAAATGAAAAATATGAATACACATTAAGTTATAATAATTTGCAAAGCTAGACAAAACAATAATTTTTAATACCATTAAAAATATTTAAATTATTAGATTTTCTATTTTCAATTTTTAACTCACAACTTTATAGTTTAGATTTTTAGCCAGTTATGCTGTAAATTGAAACATAGAACAAAATGAAACCCCAGCTAGTTCCAAGCCTTAATAATTAAAGTAAGTTCATTTGTAGAATTCATAATTTAAGTTAAATGTTACTTTAATTTAAATTGAATACTCACTCATTTGTTATAATGTATTGTATTACATTAGTTAAATGGTATTATGAATTAGAAACACTTGAGTAGCTTTGAAAGTAACCTACTAACCTATTTAGTTAGTGTTCAGTTTTAATATTTACTACAAGTGTTATGAAAACAAAAAAATAATAGAGTTGGTTAATAGTACCAATTTTAATTATTGTATTAATTTGTTATTAAATGATAATATCTTTTTTTAACATAAAAATCATGTATGTTGAATTTCTTCATGAAGTATTCTTCTGTTGATGATATTTCAGCTCATTTATGCATAATACACTATAACAAAAAAAAAAAAAAATTATAACCCCTACAAGTATGTGGTCAAAAGTAAGACGTTACTGATGGTGTTTAAGAAAGATAATCTCTGATGATAGATATATAAAATGCATCAGATTGAGAAGGTTCAAGCAAAGTCAAGTATAGTCGCCGTGCGTTCTACTTTTGTAATTTAAAAGAAATCTTATAATAATTTTTAATTTTTATGTATTATTAATTATTATTTTAACAACTTGAAATAGTTTTTTCTTTAAATATGCTCTTTAAAATGTGGATGAAAAAAATTAAATTTGTAAGAAATATTGATAAAATACTTTGAAAGTTGAAAAATTGCATTACATAATTAATATTTTTATTGTCCTTATAAATTATAATTCTCTATAAAATAAAAAGCTTTGTACACTTTATGTGCCACATATTTTATGTTACAGGTATTCAATAATAAAATAATAAAAGTATAAGTACACTTAACAAAACATTTTATAAATCAAGGTACTGAAATCAAACGTTTTGATTAAAATGTCCTTACTTATATGTGGTGGTGATGAAGAATGTGATTTTGACTTCTTGCTACTGCAAGATCTGGATCTGGATGATGTGCTTTTTCTTTCAGCATCTCTTTTTCTTTTCTGAATTCTGTATCTTTCATGAATTTTGCCAAGAACAAATAATTGTTAATTATATTTATGTACACTTTAATCTTTAAGTATAAATACGTCACTATCAGTAGTATTTAGACATAATATGCAGATTTTTGATTACAAATTGGATCCATGATGAAAGACATTAGTACTAGTATAAATAACAATAATGTATATAATTTATGTATTATAAAAGAAGAAATAATAATTTAATTGCATGTGTACGTCTGTCACATAGTAACTTAATCGCACCATCTAGTACTTCTTACCACACATAAAGTCAGTAATATAGGCATGGTTAGTCTATGAGTAAGACTTACGATATCAATTAATTAACACCCTATTTCAGAGCTTGTGTTAATGTGCAGTACTACACAAATTGTGCAATTCTAAAATAAAATGTGCAGTTATAAAACGCTAACTGTGCAGTACCTACTACTACTTATTCTAGCATTGTTAAAAAGTAACTAATATACCTACTATATAATACTATACTAAAACAATTTGTATTTAATTCATAATAATCAAATATTACATTATCATGATATTATGATACAACCATAAACCAATGTGGATTGATCCATAATAATGATAATAATAAAATGTGTATACAAGCTAAGTTCAGGTACCTACGTGTGCAATTCTAAAATGTTCTTAGCGTAAACACTACCCTATTTAAATATCTTACATCTAAAAAAACAATACATACTAAATATATTTTTTATAAATTAAATTTTAAAATTATTATACTTATCATATGTTAATAGTTCAAACTTGAATTCCATTTGGTAATATGACTATTACAGTTGGATTTTTAAATAAAATAAGACTATGTATAACATTCAAAATTAATATTAATATTAATACTTCTTTTGAAATTTTGTAAATAAAATATTATTTTTCAATATTATAATCTTAAGTCTATAATAATAAACTGGTATAAATTAGTATTACATTTAAGCCTATATAGCTTTTTTATATTTAATTATTTACTGGTAATCTACTTGTGTCTCATATTCAATATCTGCATTAAAGTATATTGTTCAGACCAATGGATTGACAACATTAATACAATTCAAAAATAGAAAATCACAAATGTGTAAATATAATGAATTATATAATTTCATGTGGTTACACAAAATTCGTAAATTTTCTTCAGAAAAATGTTAGAAAAGTTTAATTGTATATGGTATTTTGGTGACAACAAATTATTATACACATTTTATTACTGTTATATTATATATCAATTTAAAAATAATGTTCCAAGAACACTGCTAATATTTTACTATGTGTATCAATTTTTGTAATATTATTATAAAATTATTAATTTAAGAAATATGAATTACTACTTATGAGTAGTATACTTGACAGTTTCATATTTATTATAACGGTCTCTGCAGTTATAACTATCATTTTTCATTCAAAAATGTGAAAAAAAAGTAAACGTAATAAGAATGTACAAATATATGACATTCAATTAACAATAAGTAAAAATATAATTACCCAGGATCATCCATATCAATGCCAGGTTTTGAATAAAGAGGACGTTGGGAAATCGAAAATTCAATTTTAACTTTTCGACCAGAGATTTCCATGCCCGAACATTTTTCTATAACTTTCTTTGCATCTTCATGGTTTTTGAAATACATAAAACCAAAACCTCGAGACTTTCCAGTCTGGAATAGACAAATTACAAAAACTGTATCAAGCTTAAAAATGTTGAACTGCTTACTTTAGGATGCAAAATAATAACGATTTTATCAATGGAACCATATTTTTCAAATATTTTGTAGAGGTGACTTTCTTTAGTGTAAGGATCTAGACCAAATATACCCAGACATTTTCTATTAGTCTTGTCCTAAAATAAAACAATAAGTAATTTTTATTTGAGAAAAAGCGTCGAAAATAGTTTTTTAATAACTTGATAGATGATAAAACGTTTACTACTTACATTGGATCTGTCTTGAGAGCGGCTGTGATTACTGCTTTGGCTATAGCTAGAATACGAAAGTGAACTGGAGCACGAATACGAACGGTTGTGATCACTAGAACGCGGAAGTGATCTGTAGCGCGAATACGCCGTACTGCGGCGATTACTGCGTCGGCGATCAATAGAATACGAACGTGACCTGGAGCGCGAATACGCTGTATTGTAGCGATTACTGCGTCGGCGATCGCTAAAATACGAACGTGACCTGGA